CCATTCTTCGCCAGCAAACAGCAATGAGATTAATGGAATGGCAGACACAATCCTCTTAATGAGCAAACAGAATTACTTTTCCATCAAGAAAAGAAGAGGTTCTTTTTTGGCTGCAGCGGCCCCTGAATAATTACCAGAAAGAAGGATACAGTAATGCTCAGGGAATGTTTTTAACCTTCCCAAAGCTCATCCGTTTCTATCTGCCTGTGAAATCTAAGTCCAAACAAACTAATGCAGAGCAACAACAACAAAAAAATCTTCAGACAAGGCTTTTGTAAAGTGATCCAAAGAAAACAGAAAGACAAGATGGGCAGGAAAGCTTTTAAAGCACTGGCTGAATAGGTCTTGCTAATGTGTATAGAGAATTTTAACTTAAAAAAACTGCATGCACACATTATTAAAAGAAGTCTCAACGGCATTTTTGCAGTCCCCGTAACGCCCACCTATCTGCAGCATTTTATACACTATCGAGCATCTTCTCCTTCTGGATTCTCTCGCCTCTCTTGGTCTCCCAAAACACATCCCAGCTCTGCTCTTACTCTCCCATCTCCTGCATGTGCACACGAGACCAGGACCAGTTTCGGTCCTCTGTGCTCTGAGACTGCTCCTCGAACCTTTCTCTTTTTCTCACAATCTCAAATTGCACTTCGAGAAACATGACCTCTTCTCAACATCAGACTCTCCTAGATTTTGAAAAGTTTCTCCATCAATATCCCTTTCTCAGCAACTTAAGTATGAGTCTGAGTCAGCTATCCTTACAAAGGCCTGCCTGCAAGGCTGGCCCTCGGCCGGCATCTGGGAACTTGAACTTCAGGCAGGGTTCCCCAATTCTCAGGACAGTTAAGAGTGGCTCACTGAACGGCTTGTACAAACAAACCCAGTGTACGTTGAACACCTGCTTTCCTTCTGGGAGTCTGGAAGTTGGGTACATGCTATGCAGAGGGTGCCTGTATAACCAACCCCCAATAAAAATTCCAGGCACTGAGTCTGTGATGAGACTGGCAGAGAATATTTCACATATGTTATCACAACTTGTGCTGGAAAAATTAAGCACATCGTCTGCAACTGTGAGGTTACACCTGGTTTCCTCCAGATTTTGCCCCGTGTGCCTTTCCTTTGTTGATTTCGCTTTGTAGCCTTTTACTGTAATAAATCACAACTGTGAGTAACTACTGTGTCCTATGAGTCTTCCTAATGAATCACTGAAACTGGGGTGGTCTTAAGGACCCGAAACACACTCATCTCCCCACAAACAATGAGGCTCGCAATGCCTCCTCGGCAATGAGAATATCACTTCCCCAGGATAGGAGGCACTGCCTGTAAAACACACATGGACTGAATTATTAGGACAGGTGGGTATCCACGGGTTCACTGCTGTGGTGACCGGCCTCAACCCACCCAGCCCCCAGCACCCGAGAGTTACAGCTGCCTGCCAGAAACAGCTTAGAGACAGGACACCAAGTCCAGAGGGCCGAAGGGTTGGCTCAGCAGGTCCCTTCAAAGATGAAACAAACTATTCAACATGAAATAAAATGGCACCAAATAAGCAGGAATGACTTTACTCTGGAGTCACTCGAAAAGTTCCTCCTCGTTGCTCAAGCCCACTCCTGATGGACTGAGCCAAAAAAGAAAAGATTAAAACTTCTCTTTAGAGTTACAGCAACAATTTGTGACAGCTGTGGGAGGGAGGAAGCCGGCCTCCCAGAGCAAGTACTTGGAACCTGGTGCAGCACCTGGGCAGGGACTCCTGAGGACAGCCCAGGCTGCATGGCGGGGCTCTCCCACCCTGGACCCCATGGCTAGCAGGCACCAAGCCCCGGTGACTGGTCACATCATGTCTGGATGTCTGCTCCACTGCTGTCTTGTCTCTCCCTCCACCCTGGGCCATGCCACCAGGGAAAACGCTGCTTTGTAAATATCAGCCTCAATCTCAAACATTCAAATAACTATTTCTTCCCTCAAGATTACAGAAGAAACTATTCATGCTGGCTTCAGTGCCATCCATAAACTTTCCAGCCAGTTTTTCTACATCAATCTCCCACTCCTCGCCATTATAAATTCCTGTCTATAGTGAGATGGATTTCATTATATTCTACAACATGTCTTTTTCTATTTCCTTTTTTTTCTGGCCATTTTATCTTTTTCCCCCCCTTTTTTTTTTTTTGGTGTTTTAAACTTCCAACCCACCATCTAGAATACCTACCACTATTTCATATACAGCACCTGAGTTTTATTTCCACTACAAAAGCTAACAACAACAAAATCTTCAAAGCTTACCTCATTCACTGTGATCTGTCCTAACCCGCAGGCCTTATCTGCTGTACCCGCCTTGGCATTAATGAACAGGTGCCCTACGTTGCTGGTGATGTTATGTACACGTGTATGCTCGCCAATGGAACTATAAGCTCTTTGAGAGAAGTCTTAGTAATATTTCTTAATAGATCTCTACAACTCAGCATACCACTTTGAATGTCATAGGAATGGCATGAACACTTTCTGATTAACTGAACGAAAAAGTCACTGCTACCACATTGTGACCCAATTACAAACCTCATGCCATCCAGACTATAAAAACCTAACCCAAAGCACCTAAATATATGCCCCCTCACTACACCCTCCTCCAGCCGCTACAGACACAGCCAACGTGCTAGGCGGATCACTGAACCGTTCCACTTTCTCCCTCCCCCTGAAAGTGGTGATAAAAATATAAACTTCTCCAACACCACTGAATGGTTACAAGCACCGAACGAGACCATGCATTTGAAAAGTTCTTTGTAACACAGTACACATAAGGGAGGGAGTGCACTTACTGCTGGACCCTCTTCCAACCCCTTGCTGACAAAGTCGTCCAGTGTGTCATGCGCAATGTTCTATTCCATGGTACAGAGTGAATGGATTTGCCCACCCCTTTCTCTACTGAATATTGGCCTTCTGACCTCAGGGAGGAACATACAGCCCAGTGTGGCCCTGACAGCTGGGCCGATACTGGAAACAGACGAGGCCAGCCATGACCGGGGCGCTAGGCACTGAGCTTATGCAAAATTGTGGTGGGTCCCTTCAAAACGAGCCTGGTGGTAATCAGCTCTACGCTTGGTTTTGGATTCTAGCCTGGTAGAGTCACAGCAGCCATGGCTTCAGGGTTACTGTCACCTAAAAACATAAATAGAACCACATTGGAGCCTTCACAGATGAAGCTCCCACAGACCACCTGCAGTGGGGAGGCTCTGGCTGGGATCTCAGCATAGCCAGAGTCAGTTTCCTAGTTACCCACTTTTAAATACTGGCCCAAACCTGCTATGATGGTACTGACAGATGCCCTGACTGAATTTCAACAGACTCTGAATTTTAAGGGCGATTTTGCTCATCACTGTTAAAGAGGAAAATAGGCAGTTGAGGTCAGATGCTTTAGATCTCACTGACCTCAGAATTACAAATACCAAGAACTTTGGGAGGTAAACTTCTTGGAGTTTTTCGGAATAAAGTTTAAACAACATTTATTCTGAGCAGCTAGAGCTCTGTTGCCTCTGTTTCTTACGTAATCCACGGCATGTAACAAACAGCACTCAGTTTTACAGCCTTGGCTGAAACCAGGAAAAAGGGCTTTACTTAAAACAAACGATTTTATTGTTTATGTATTGAACTGAGGTTTGGAAGAGGGAATTTCCTGACCGTAGCCTGATTCCCTGTTTAATTTGATTTGATTTAACACAAGAGTTGATACTGCTCTTGCCTCCAAAACTCTAACCACCAACAGCAAAATAAACCACTCCATACCTACTGGCATAGTACAAAAGGCAAACCCAAGGGAATTATAAACTAAGACCAAATCAATATTTATCTTAAAACAGAGAACTTCAAAGACTTTGCTCAAATACTCCCTATCATTTTTGAAAAATGCATATACTCTTCTATGTATTTCACATTTAATAGCTAAAATGTTCATCAGCATTAGATGCAAAGCTCACTATATCTAGCAAAATAAAACTATCACAGTGCTCTTGTAAACTTACCCAGTGGGATAAAAATACCACAGCAATTTGATACTTACTAAAGTAAAAGAAAACTTTTCCAGTCAGAGCAGATCTCAGACTGGTTGTGCTGTTCCAAAGCAACTGCTTTTAACCAGAGGAAGCGGACGAACACCCGTGACGTTGAAGCATTTCACCAGCTGAAGCTGATGAATAACTAAGACCTTTGAGTGACCAGGTGCGGACCCACACCAACCTCATTGAAACGTTCTTCTAACCAATAAAAAATGACATTTGTTTGACCTTTGAGTGAACCACCTGCAAACTCACTCCAATCTAATTGAAACTTTTTTCTAATAAAAAGGGACATTTTTATTATTGTTTTAACCAATGATCCATAGA